CACACACACACACACACACACACACACACACACACACACACACACACACACACAAGAACTGAACTGTCTTATGTCATGTTGGCCACTAGCCCGCTCAAGCCTGTTGTTGGTCTGAGTATACATATGCTGGTAATACTCTATTTGTCTCTACAAAGCACGGACTCTACCTTCAACACACACATACATGTCTTTCTTTCAGGTTGTTTGTTTGCCTTTCTCGCTGTTTTCTCTGCATGTTATTCTTCCTGCTTTCCTTCTTACTTTTTGTGTCTAGGTGAGCACCTTTAAGAAGTGCGGCAGCAACCCAACTGCACACCGCCAAAGCTAACTGCATGGAACAACAGTGCAAGTGGGTGGGCAGCAAGGCAACAATAGTTACAACACAACCACAAACACAAATCGGCGCTGGAAAGCAGCCAAACGGCACGGCAGATGCACGGGGAAGACAAGGCACGCGGACGGGCAACAAGGCAACGCCAACCGTCGACAATCTGCGGAATTCCCATATTGATGCTTTGGGCCATGAACCCTTTGACCTCGGTTGAAAGCAGACTGCCAGCGCGCAAAACCACAAACGGAACACAGCAGCAGGCAACAACTCAGCATCCTTTATGCTTGCAGCGCTGCCAATCTGTGGAGAGGGTTATTCTAACATTCTCCATTGCCCCTTCTTGGTACGCCCGCAGTGGTGGCGCAGTTTGCTGCCTACATCGCTCAATCCTCAAAGTCCGCAGCGCCCACAGCACTGCTGCCCTAATGATTTCTAAAGCCATCCGGTCCTCCGGCTGTGATCTGTCGACCCTCACCAGAGCCCCCAAAAGGATAATTGCATCATCCGTCTCTGTGACCCCCAAGGGGGTTTTGTCCGCCATCTCCTGCGCCCACCATTCCCAGAAGGTCCGGTCAACTGGGCACCTCATGAAGAGGTGTGGAATGGTCTCCACTTGGCCGCATCCTGCTGCACATAACTGACCTTTGTGTGGACTCCTTGCTGCAAGCCATTGTGCTGTGGGGGTCGCCAGATGGTACAGTTGCCACAGCAGGCCTGCCTGCTTCTGGTCTGGCAGGGCAGCCAAAATAGCATTTTGCTCGTTCCATCTGCACTAAGTCCATCTATTGCCATATACATCTGGGATCCAATCCCTCTTGGCCCATCGATTTTTTTCAATTCACAGCATATATCCACCGGATCCAACAGAGCGTTATAGATGTTCTTTGTGGTAAGACACTGGAGCTGCACCGTCTTCCTTCGCATCCTGCAGGCCATTCCCCCCGGTCCCATACCAAATCCCGCTTTCAAAGCGCAACTTGAAAGGCAAATATTGCCCTGTCGCCTTCAGGCCTCCTTCACATACCGCCACCGTCTGCACGTTTCTTCTGTCCAGCATTTCCTAGGGGTCACCCTCTTGTGCAGCGCAGGCCCGGAGGGGTTCCCCCAATCCAGCATACCCCGACGATACGTGCCAGGCAGTTGCTTCCAACTTATCGTCTGGCAGCGCCTGCTCGACCCTATAGATTTTCTCCGGTCTCGAATTCCCTTTTTCTTTCACCCATTCCCTCAGGGAGATGTCATCTCTTCTCAGCGTATCAATCCACTGGGGGGGGATGGGTTCCCACAGTTCCGTGAGCCTTTGCTTTTTCTTCATCTGTCCCTGCAAGGAGTCCAGCATCTTGTTTTCGGGGCGCCAGTCCCTCCGGTCCTCATCCCACGAATGCCCAACTAGGTGCCATACCACCTGGCGCAGCTGCAGTGCTATGGTCTGCAGCCGCGGGTCCAGCAAGCCCAGGCTTCCAAACCGCCTTGATTAGATGAGCTTATTTCAGGCCACTCTGCATATGGAACGCTCCACCCACGCGTTGTTCGACCATAGGTGCGTGTGGATCACCTTCCTAATATACCTAAAGGTACGTTTGCCCGGCATACGCACGGCGCCTGCGTAGCACAAAGTTGCAAGCATCGAATTCTTAATCACCAAGGCCTTTCCGAATACCCCCATGCTCCCTCTTGCGCTCCATGCTTTAACTCTTGCCGCGGATGCTATAGCGCGGACAGTCAATTTATCTATCCCGCCGTAGCTCAGCGTCAAATTTGCTCCCAGGAAGGCCAATCGTTCTCCTTCTGCTACTGTGGGGATATCCCATCCCTCCGGCGGGTCGACCCCTGGTGGGAGAATGGCCTTTGATTTCTGCCAATTGACTTGCACCCCAGAATATTTACAAAATATTTGGAGGTCTTCCTTAAGCACCGCCAGCTGTTGGGCCGTCGGGGGGATCACTGCTCCCGAGTCATCCGCAAATGTAGTGGATTGCAGTTCCATTGCTGGTCCCGCTTTCAGGGCAGTCAATTTATCATCCGCCCTCAGAATATCGCGCATAGACTCGATGTAAATAATGTAAAGGGCCGGAGACAGCGGGCATCCTTGAGTAACTGATCGAGTGACCTTGCGTTTGTCCGATCGAACACCATTGACCTGCATCACTGTTGTTGCTCCCGTCAGCCGGCTTCTAAGTTCTAGCCCAGCTGCAAAAGATCCCCCTTATCCCCCTATGCGCCATTTCCTGCATCAAGAATTCCCAGCAGACTCGGTCATACACTTTTTCAAGATCAGTGGAGATAAATGCCACTGCATTGCCTGTACATCGCTCCTCCTCCAGGACCTGCTGCGCCAGTATGACGTTAGACAAAATCTGACGTCCCGATACGAACCCGGTCTAGGTGCAGTGTATTAGGCATGGCAGCACTTTTTCAGGCGGGTTGCCATCAACTTGTCCAAAATCTTATATGATGCGTTAAGGATAGATATCGGCCTCCAGTTTCGCACATCCTCCTTCGCCCTTTTATACAGAGAGAACAACATATGCTTCCGTGAAGCTCTGCGGGAAGGTTCCATGCTTAAACCACCACTACCTCCGAGCCTGTTTTTGCCGACCCTGAAATTCACTGCGGTCCCGTAGTATTTTCTTTTCTGGTACTCCGCGGAAATGAAAAAAAAAAAGAAAAAAAAAGGGAAAACTCAACTATGCTGGGGACGTGAAAGCAGCTGGAGGGCGTTACAGGCGTCAGCAGAAAACGGCTCTATGAAAAACAAAAAGAAAAAAAAGAAAAAAACGAAACTACTCCTTGGATGCAAAAACAGCTGGATACAGAATCTTGAATACATGTGAGATTGGAGCGCCCCTTTGTTGCAAGTGTCAGCTGTCCGTGGAAAGCGCCCTGCCTCGTTGGCAGGGCAGTGAAACGTACTGAGAAGAAGAAGGAAAAAAAAAGAAAAAAGAAAACAAAAAAGAACACAAAACAAACCAATATTATGGGCAGATGCATTCGTGGAAGCACTAATGTGAGCTCCCCCCCCCACACATCCTTCCTTTCAACTGTGCACGTCTGCTTTTTGGTTTTTCCCCTTTGGTTTCCGTGGAAAACGCCCTGCCTCGTTGGCAGGGCACTATAACGAACTGCGAAGACAAAAAAAAAAAAAAAAAAAAAAAAATCCGAAACGAGCCAGTATTATGGGCAAATGCATTCCTTGAAGCACCATTGTGAGCACACTTCCCTCACGGCTTACCCCCCGACGTCCTTCCTTTCACATACGCAGCTCTTTTTTTTTTTTTTTTTTTTTTTGGCAATTCACGCGGGCCCACAAGACCCAGAACTTCTCTTCTCGCCAAGCCTCTACCCGACCCCCGAAAAATGCGGTGTGACGTATATTCCCGTTTTTCCCAACACTGGCTAAGGTAGTGGTGGTTACAGCGCCTCATTGTACGCGGATGTCAGTAGGACCGCGAAGAAGTGACAAAACTCCTTATATAGTTCTACCGGCATCCCATCCAGGCCCGACGCCTTAAGACGGGGAAGGTCTGCAATCGCTCTCTCCACCTCCTCCAGTTTCACGTCCTCTTCTAGTCTGCAAATACTTACCAAGTCCAGCCGATTGCGAATGTGCCTCCACACTACTTTCTCTGGTTCTTTAGCCATATCCTCAGGTGTCCAATCTTCCTCTTCAGTTAGTAGACGACAATAGAAATCCGTAAACCATTTCAAGATCCCCCTCATGGTGCACTGTGTAACCTGTGTTGCCTAATTGTCATCAAAGGGGGGGTTCATCACTGTCATTCGCGGAGCCAGTTTGCTTGTGCCCACTGTAGCAAGGAACCTTCGCGCCATCCGTTCCCCCACCACAATCCACGACTCCTTAGTTCGCCTTTCCCATTTGACTGCTTCCTCCTGCTGCCATTCCCTCTATCCTTGTGCCGCCTCGACCCGCTCGGCCCACCATTCATCCGCTGTTTGCTCTGCTGCTGGGCCGCTATTTAACTCCTCCATTCTTC